AACAAATATTGAAATTGTTTACCTATATGGAGGGTTTAGAGGGGGGTAAAGTGGGCAGCTGTACAGGGTTCAATTTTTTTCATTATATATTTTTATTTAGAAATACAAAATTATAATAAAGATAAGGGCCTTTTTTTTCTTGTTCGTCCTGGACCTTTAAGAATATTTCATTTTTCAGGACCGGCTCTGTTTACCTAGTTCAGTGATTTCATATTCTTATATTGAATAATCAACGTATAGATTTCATATCCTTATATTAAATAATCAACATATAGTTATCTTTCATAAAAATAAAAAAATGTTAAAAAATAGATGAATAAAGAAAAGAAGGGATAAAATTCCAAGACAAAAATAAAATCAAATTACAAACAGATGTCACATAAATTTGGGGGAATGACAAAGGCAAGAGAAGAAAAAGGTGAACCGTAAAATCAACCATTACCTCAATAATGCCAATATTCTTGCATTAACCACAACACAGTAAAAAAAACAAATCATGGTTCACTTCCCATACCATTGTGTACAGGTGATCCACTGGTCTTATCCACACATAGTCATAATTTACCCTTCAATTCTTCTGAATCACATTTTGTGAATAAAAAAACCAAAAAATACCATTGTACTTTTATTTCTTTGACAAATTTACCTGTATGCATCTAATTTTCTAGTACAAACTCATAACAACATTGTATGAATAGTGGAAAAAAGAAGTTACTGGCCTATGCATACATAGAAACCTAAAAAGAAGTTACTGACCTATATAAGCCCTTTCTTATGTCAGAAGTAAACCAACACTATATTTCTTATCAATATTATTAGTTTAATTAAAATATTTAATTGATAATTAGATACCTTATTAAAGGAAAACATTGTAAATATTGAACATTTTTTACAGAACAATAATCACTGCCACCAAAATATACTTTAAAAAAATGCATTTATCTCACTTTTAATTTCGGATTTGTTACATAATAATAGAACCAAGGTAAACATGAAATCAAAAGATTTAGCAAACTATGAACATTTTTTAACCTGAATCACAAAACAATAGGAACAAACATGTTTTCCTTCAAACCTTGATGTAGATTTTTACTGTCCAAACAAAACTTTTATAAAAATCGAAAATCTAAAAACAAAAAGCAAAAAAAAAAAATGTTAAACCATAAATTTGAAGTTTGCATGTTCCAGCTTTTCATTAAATCCATAAAAGGTGCATAATACGCTTTTATAATCTTATCAAACCATTACTTCATTTGTTGTACCAACCACGTGGATGAAAGTTAAAATAAATATATAGTAACAAAGTAAAAAAGTGAAAATAACTTACTTGAGTTCTTTAGTTACCGACTCTTCAAGATATCTCAATTTAACATCTACCATTAACTATACAATATGAGAAGAGAATAACGAAAGTTATGTTGACGATTACCTTTCAAGTTGGGGGTATCCTGATGAATAGGTGTTTTACACTCTTGAGGCAAGCGTAAAAGTGGGTTGCTTCTTTAGTTTAGTTATTTTATATAAATTTTCGACTTACACTTTCATAGTAGCATTTAGGTACCCTGCAATCGCAAATAATAATAATAAATAAATAAATGAGAAATAATAAAATGTTATAAAGGCAATCATTGGATAAAATTACTACACCTGTAATAACTCGGGATTGTAAAATCCAATTGTTGAAAACACACAAAACAAACTTTCCTAACACCATCATTTCTTATACCATTTGAAGATTAAGAAACAGATGGTTTTTGTTACAACTGTCAATTTCTGGTCAAGTCAAAGTCAAATAAAGTCAACAAGTCAAACCGGTCAACTCAACTAATCCTTGTGTACTAGGACTTACGTTAGGTAATTACTATACAACTCGCTATTCTAATGAGAAATCATAAATTGAAAAGTTCATACATCTAGATTTCCTTAACCTAAAACTGTGGTAAGTAACGAACCAAACAGATAAAACAATGTTGCATACTCATCGGGAGTATGTAAGATCCTTAAATATGGCTTAACGGGGCTTACGGACCTTGCGTTGCGGAGCCAAGCACTCAAAAAAGTCACAAAAGAAATCTCTCCAAGTATGTGAAATCTCTCCCAAATCTCTCCACGTATGTCAAATCTCTCCCAAATCTCTCTAAGTATGAGAAATCTCTCTAAGTATGTGAAATCTCTCCCAAATCTCTCCATGTATGTCAAATCTCTCCCAAATCTCTCTAAGTATGGGAAATCTCTCCAAGTATGTGAAATCTCTCTCAAAAGTTCCTTAAACTTTTTATAGTCTTTCGGGCCATCCCGACCCTTAACCGGGTCAAAAACAGCTCGAAAACGGAAGTTTACGCGAAAATCAATCTTAAGGAGTCGAACCCTCTTAGGAACTGAACTTGTCAGAAGCGAAGTTGTCAGAGCCGAACCCTATCTCGGACCGAAGGCTCGTATAGACCGAACCCGAACCTCGCATGGACCTTCGCTTCCTTCGCTTTCGCCTCTCACGCCTAACTTCGCCTTCGGGCCCAACTGCATTAGGACCGAACCTCGGCCTAGGACCGAGAGGTCTTGCAGGAAACCTTTTTCCACCCGGTTTTCGACTAGTTTTGCGTTCTAAGCCCGATTTTAATTATTTTAGCGTGGGATTTTCACCCAAAACTTTATTTTAACATATAAGGCCCCATATTTATTAATTAATCATGTTTTTGGGGATAAACCTTATCCAAGAAGAGTGGGTGAAGTATAAGAGGTGGAGTGTTGACTTTCCTTTAGTTAATGACACAAGCAACCACCCCCACACCCACTCTATGACCATCCACACTCCTCCCACCATACCTAGTTACATCCTTGTATTTTCTCATCATTTCCAGCCATTTCCCACATTCTTAGAGCTGGAACATCCATCCTCTCTCCTCATTCTCACTCATTTCTCTCATTTTCACCCAAAGAGCAAACACTTTTCTCTCAACTTCTCTCTTTCAATTCTGATTTTTCCAAGGCTTTTTCCAAGACTGTTCTTCTTCATTTGGTAAGTATCATCATCTTTCATATGATTATTACACTTCTTCACTCAAATTATGAGTTCCTTACACAAATATCGTCATATTTGTTGTTAGATCTTCAAAGTCTTCAAGCATCATTTAAGTGTTCTTGAGTCAAACACTCCTTTACTTCATCATCCATCTACTGAAATCATATAATGTGAGTTCATACCTCTATCTTTTCATGTTTTTCTTAAGTTTTAAGGGGGGGGGGGGGGGAATACAAGTTAAAACACGAAGAACACAACTAAACTCATTTAACAGCCTTCATCAGAAAAGTTCAACTCCATTCACATACTGTTTTGGGCAACTTAAACATTTTAGTTTTCAAAAATGTTTTAGGTCAAATTAGTTCCAGTTCTTAGCTTTAAAATGACTACTTGCACATCTCCAAACGATTTTTATACAATTTATGGTGATTTTTTCAAAACTGCCTATCATTTCAAGAGCAAATCCGGACCAGTATGTGATTATGGATGTTTTCACACAAGTTGGAGGTAATTAAAATTCATAATAAAAATTATGAACAAACTAGACTCATTTCCCAAGCTCTAAGAGTTTACGGATTCTGATTTGGACCTTTGATGATTTTTCTATAAATTTTGTAAGAACAGTAAAAGAAAATGTTAACAACAGAAAAATGCTATCAATTTCATTTCACATTGTAACATGTTGAGCAAGGTGTATATCTTTATGTGAATATATGTTTTTGCAAATAGATGCCATTTTGTCTTAGTATATAGTCATACATCAGAAAACAAATGGATTTTTACCTACAAAAGTATGATAACTAATTAGTTGTTATATTGCATGTTGCTTCACTTTAGTAAAGGGTATATATACATATCGGTAAACAAAAGGGTTTTTACCTTCACAAATACAGTAGTTAACCATAATAAACAAAGTTATAACTATTACATTTAAACGTTTTGATAAACTATAATAGGTATGATTTATGTTTCCATTAACACAACAAACACATTTCGGAAGGTTTTATTCCCACAGAAAAAGGTTTTACACTCACGCACACCACACGTAAACTTGTTAACTTAAATTGTGAGACATTCTTCTCAGTACTCCTAGAGTATGGGTTAAAATTCCTGGTAGTTATAATCAGAGTCTCTTGTAGGGATAACGTGATAGTTGTGTATAAATCTATATTGGATTAGACGACCCACACCTTGCTGCTAGCTATAGTGGGACCTGCAGGTCTACGAGTGACAAGTGTCATATCAGTTTTTCGACGCCTGAGAAACGTCGTGGCAGGTTCATTCAGTCATAGTATGGTTATAGCGACTCACATAGGAAGTTAACAACTCATAAAGTTTACGGGAATTTTCACTACTAGAAAAAAGACCTTTAATGACGCGCTTTTTATGACACACGATAATTAACGATACGCAAAAGGACGTGCCCTTAAAATAGTGTCATCTCTCCAAAAAATTTAAGGATTTACGTCACGCTTTATTGCGTGCCCTTAATTTGGTGTCTCAAGAAAAAAAATTAAAAACACGGAGGGCGCTTTATCTTAAACGCGCGTCGTCTGTACCTGTCGCTTTATAATTTTAATGAAACGCGCTTTTAGTAGACAAGGGGGGAAATGAAATCCCCAAAATTTTGAAAACCCGCCTTTTTTTTTTTCTATCTTCTATCTATCTTTCATCTTCAACCTAACAAGGACGAGCATTGCACTCTTGATTTCCCTAACTCTTTCTCATTTTCTGATTCAAACTTGAAAGAATCGAAAAAAAAAAATCTATCAATTTTGAAGCCTAAAAAAATCTAACAAGGACGAGTATCCATCGATCCGACTTCCAAAAATAGAGGGCATTGATTCCACGTCTTTCGGGGTTGGGAGGAAGGAAAAACTGTTGGTCCCGTGCGATCTAATTGGTAGAGGGCATCGATTCCCTAACTCTTTCTCATTTTCTCCACCATCGCTGCTTTCGCTAATATCCACTCCGACCTCTTATGAACGCAAATGGTAAAGATCTGCTTCAATTTCCCGATTGGTCTTCATCGACGGTGGTGGTGAGTCGGAGGTGCCATGTTGATGTGATTATTACAATCGATTGCAGAAAATGAGAAGATTTAGGGTTTTTTCTTGGTCCAGTGGAATACTTTCAGGTTTCGTCTCGACTCCTTTTATTTTATTTTCTTTCTTTTCCTTTCCTTCTGCCATCTGCTTCCTTTCCCCACCTCTTCTTTCTTATTTGGATTCTCCAGGCGATATGCTACTGTGGCGATTCAGTCGGTGGCGGGTCAGCCTCAATTTCATAACATTTTAAGGGATTGCTGTTGGTGTTCATCGACGGTCGTGGTGGGTCGGAGGTGCCATGGTGATGTGAAGAAATAGAGAAAAAGGAATATAGTCATCACTTGCTGATACCGACGACGATCCGTTTTCTGCATTAGCCAGATTGAATGACTTCAAAGGAGGTTCGTATTTCTTTTGTATGTTTTTTTTTATCCCAATCAATGAATGGATTTTTTCCCCTGTATACGTTGGGCATCTTTCTTTCTTTCTTTCTTTTTTTTTTATCCCAATCAATGAATGGATTTTTTCCCCTGTATGTTGGTTTTACAAGTGCAAGTATATTAATCTACTAATAATCCCAACTTGACATGAAGTTGATAAGTAACAAGTAAGAATAAATTGTGTTTCAGTGAGTTTGTGTTCGACCGAATTAAATGGCAGCGGAAGCAAATGAACGAGGACTTCCTTGACCTATCAAAGATGTTCAATGCAGTTAAATCGCTTGTTCGAGTGCCTTCTGTAGACCCCAAATATAAAATTGCTCTTCTTGCTTCTAAGCAGGTTCTTCTTCTTCTTTCTAGAAAAAATTGTTAGTGAAAACCAAAAATAGTATTACATTAGTAAGGAGGTTGCTGGTGCAGGACCATTGTCTTGTTGATCTACTGCATGCTTGGCAAGATGGAAAACTTCCGGTTCAGATAAGCTCTGTAATCAGGTAAAGCATGGAACTTTTTTTTTATTTGTTATCTTTGACCAGTAAATGATGTGTATAATATGTCTGTATTTTGAACAGCAATCATGATAGGGTGGGGAATACCCATGTGATGCGGTTCCTTGAAAGACATGAGATTCCATATCATTATCTGTCCAAGTCAAAGGAGAAGAATGTAGAAGATGAGATATTGGGGTTGGTTGAAGATACAGATTTCTTGGTCCTTGCTAGATACATGCAGGTAAATGTTTTTCTAGTAGTAGTATAGCAACATGATTGGGAAAAAGGTCTTATTTGTTTATTTACCCAGGACAGGTGTTGTCTGGAAACTTTTTGAAAAGATATGGGAAGGATGTGATCAACATACATCATGGCTTATTGCCATCATTCAAGGGAGGAAATCCATCTAGGCAGGCAGGTTCTGTGTTCCAATTTCCAAATTCTGTTTTAAGCTTTTTATGTTTTTATGTTTTTTACTGGAGAATGACAGGCTTTTGAAGCTGGGGTCAATTTGATTGGTGCCACAACCCATTTTGTCACGGAAGAGCTTGATGGGGGCCCAATCATTGAGCAGATGGTAATCAAAGAGTTTTAAGTTTCTCAGTATCAGTAGTATGCAGTATATATATGCTAAGGTGAAAAGTCAAATAGTTTCTGTTTGGGTTTGCAGGTTGAGAGAGTCTCGCACAAGGATAATTTGCTGAGTTTTATTCAGAAATCTGAGAATCTTGAAAAACAATGCCTTATGAAGGCAATCAAGTCATATTGTGAGTTACGCGTTCTACCTTATTAACACAACAGGACTGTTGTATTTTCATGTTGCATAAGAATCATGATACACAATAAAAATCATAATACTTATAACAAACTATTACATTTGAAAAGTCTTGCTGTTACTAGGAGGAGTCTTGAATTGGGGAAAATGGAAAGAAGGAAGGAAAGAAGGAGAGGTTACAGATAGACTTAAAGAAAGAAAGACTTAAAGATCAATAACACGAGAGAGATTCTGAATACGATTGAGCAAGAAATCCCCTTGCTTAATAGTCGCTTGATACAGAGCATTCTTTGCATCTGGGCGGTTGGAAGGGTAAAAAAACTGCCAACATTCTTGCAGTAATGGCATCTGCAGCTGCTGCATCAGGTGATGATAGGCGTGTCCATTTCTCTTTCTAATTATACCATCTGTTTTTTCTTGATAATCCGTACTCAGTTTGGTCCATAGTGATTTCTCTTTGATCAGCCCAAATATCCTTGATTGATAACTTTTTCATAAAATTTCTCAAACATGCACAGGATGATGATGATGATGATGATGACGTTTCTCACGAGAAGGATATTTATCTCCAATTTGGTGTAGTATTAAGTGATGTATATGCTTTTTTTGTTGATGGTGACTATCATTGGAGTCAACATTCGTTGACAGGAGGATTTGGTGGTTTTTCGCAGTCTAGTATCGTTAGTTTCTTGCCTATTATTGATAAGTGTGGTGTGACTTGTAAGCTTCAACAGGTATATTCATTTCAAGTTTGAAACATGATTATTATAATTATATGTTGTCAGTTGATAACACTTCATCTCTCCATCTAGATCCAATCAGAGAATCCATCTTTCCCCACAACAAGATTGGTCGTGCGGCTTCCTTTCCTTGGATTTCAGTTCCCCCCTGCGCGTTATCATTGACTGATGCAAGTTGCAAAGATCTTTCAGGGAGAGGATAATGATAACGAAGGTCTTGTCCGCCCTTGGGATCAAGCTGACTCTGAGGGTTGGTTAGATGTTCTTAATTGGAAGCTTGGTTTGATTCCTAGAACCACTCATGCTTTATTCCAATCCAATCAGCATTGTGATTTCTTAAACTTTTGCAATTTTTTGTTTATCGTTATTTTGGTGTAGGGTGTGGGAAATAGGGAAGCTATTTGGCAGAGGAGATATTTCTTAATCAGAAAGGGCCAACTTCAGGAAGATCACCTTATCAACCAAGTCTTTTCAAGATTTTGTGAAATTAGGCATAACCACAGACAAGATCAGAAACCTACTGATTTTGGTGAGTTTTTATTACAATTCAATTAATTTATTCACATAATTTTGATCATTTTTTTATTTTAATTTGTTATATCAGAGCTTGAAATGATGAAAGAAATATTTTCAAATCTTTTTGTGGGGGAGGATATTTTCGATAGTAGGGACAAAATTTACTACATTTATATAAGAAGCTTATGGCTTGATCATATCAGAAAAAGAGGAAGCAGATGAAATTCAAGGTACTTTTCATCAATCATTTTACTGTTTGACTAAGTTTTTTTAACCTGAACTCTCATTGTTCATCATTTTAACTTATCTTTTATTTGATTTCATAATGCATCACTGTGTCTTTAATTCTTATCTGGTTGGCTTGGTGTATAGATGCTTCATGAAGGATTATGCATTGGTATGGATAGTATGATCTTTTCCTTCATGTATATATAGATTGTAGAATAACTTTTTTAATGTTTTGCAGCCTGACATTGTTACCGGTGATATTAATTTGTAATTTTTTTAATTAAAATGAATTATTTGTATTTGACATATTAGTGAAATGAATTATCTTTGTTGTTTATGGTATTTTATTTGTATGACATTAAATTTTATGAAATGGATTATATTTTTTGTATATGATATTTTATTTTATATTGTGAGGCATTAAATGCAAATTTAATTTGAAAATTAGTAAATCTATAAAAAAATAAATTTTTTTTAACATTTAAAATTATGATACGCAAACATGCGTGTCATCTTCATTTATGACATGGCCTTTCTTGACAGAGGCTTTCTTGATACGCATTGCGTGTCATTAACACACGCGTCGTAAGGTTACGACACGCGAATGCGTATCGTCTTCCTTTATGACAGGGCCTTCCTTGATACGCAATGCGTGTCGTAACTGCGCGTCGTAAATGCGCGTCCTAAATGCACGTCGTAAATGCGCGTCGTCTATAGACGACGCGCAAAAGCGCGTCGTCTCTCTTTATGACAGGGCCTTCCTTGACACGCATTTGCGCGTCGTCTGAGCGTTTTACGACGCGCAATGAGCGTCGTAAAAGGCCTTTTTTCTAGTAGTGTTTTATAAATCAAAAGGATTTTATGTCGATTTAAAATCACTTTCTATATCAATAAGTACGGATATTACTGTACACTTTCGGTCTTTGTATTTAAGAATACACGTCATTCATTTCAGGATTTTCCTCAAATCAAAAAGGGGTTTTATGCCGATTTAAAACCACGTTATTCATTTCAGGATTTTCCTCAAATCAAAAAGGGTTTTTATGCTGATTTAAAACCGCGTTTATATCATTAAGTATGGAAAATACTTGTTTATTCTTGGTCATGGGATTTAGGACTACATAACTTTTATAAGGAAAATATTGGATTTTTCTTGGTAACACACAACACATTACAAAGAACGGTTTCCAAACTCTTTATCTAAAAAGCTTATGAACTCACCAACTTAATTGTTGACACTTTTTCAAAACTACTTGTATTATCAGGAAATCAACGAAACCAAGTATCCACAAGCTTTCGAGGATGGAACGCTACGACGTTGAACAACTACTTTTATATCATGTCGTGATCGATCATTGAAATATGTAATACTTGAAACCATGTAATTCTTTTCTGATTATATTTATGATTGGTTGTATTTACTTTGAGCACTATTATACTCTTTGTTGTGATACTATACATGAAGTCCTCCACCCCGAACGTTTCCGCCATCCTTGGTTTGGGGGTGTGACAATTTTCAAGATACTTACAACTCAAACACACTTGACTTAGTTAATGCAATAATTCCTTTTCCAGGGATTCTTTTTCAAATACCTTAACAATCTGAAAGCAACATTCAAATGAGACTTCATAGGTTTGTGCATATATTGACTACGTACCTGAACTGCATAAGAAATATCAAGCCTAGTAACCGTAAGATAAATAAGCTTACCAATAAGTTTTTGAAACTCTGTCTTATCGTTTAACAATTCATTTCCTTTATCAATTTCACCTGAACTTATTATAAAATTTGTTTCTAATGGTGTATTTACAGGTTTACAACCAAGCAATCCATATTCATGTAACAACCCTAGACAATATTTTCTATGATTTAAACATAAACAATTATCAAAATTTATCACCTCTACACCAAGAAAATATTTAAGGATTCCAAGATCCTCAATCAAAAATTGACTTTTTATAAAGTCTTTGACCTTTTTAATTTCTGTTTCACTACTTCCAGTCAATATAATATCATCAACATATACTAATAACACAGTTATTGAAACCTAAAATTTTCTAACAAACAGAGAGTAGTCACTTATACTTTGCTGAAAACCAAACATAAACAAGGATGCACAAAGATTTTCATTCCATTTCCTAGGAGCCTGCTTTAAGCCATATAAAGACTTAGTAAGTTTGCAGACCCTAGAATCATTATTAGAATAATAACCAGGTAGAAGAGACATATAGACATATTCCGTGAGATCATGATAAATAAATGCATTATTTATATCTAATTGATATAAGGGTCAATAATTTTGCACATATAATGAAATAACAATGCGCACAGTGACAATTTTTGCAACAAGAGAAAAAGTTTCTTCAAAATCTATTGCCTCTATTTGATTATATCCTTTAGCAACTAAACGTGCCTTATACCTCTCTACTTCTCCATTTGATTTATACTTAATTTTGAACACCCATTTACATCGAATCAGTTTTCTGTTTTTAGGTAAATTTGTTATTTCCCATGTATGATTACGATGAAGAGCTTCCATTTCTTCATTCATTTCCTTAACCCAGTTTGGATCAGACAAAGCTTCGTGGTAATCTTTGGGTTCAGTTGTTTTATTGAGATTAGAAATAAAACATTTAGATTCAGTATTAAGACAAGAATAGTTAACAGATCTCTCAATACCATATTTTTATTTTCCTTCAACAACATAATCAACAAACTTAACTGGCATATGTGACTCACGTCTTGTAACATCCGGATTCCCAGGTATATTATTTTATTCATTTATTTTGGAGTTTGTGGAGGAACTCGGCGAGTTGGTGCTTAGACTCGCCAAGTAGGGTTGCGGATTCCCATCCGGGTTCATGACTGGACTCGGCGAGTCCACGCTGTTTAATGAAACCCTAATTTCCTGGGTTTGTGTAACATCCCCCTCTGGCACGTATCACAATATTGTCCGCTTTGGGCCACTCGGCACGAGGAATTCCCAGGGGGTCACCCATCCTGGTACTACTCCCGCCCGAGCACGCTTAACTGCAGAGTTCTTATGGGATCTGCTGCCCTCACGGCTTTAAAACGCGTTGTGATAGGGAAGGTATCCACACCCCTTATAAGGAATGCTTAGTTCTCCTTCCCAGCCGATGTGGGATCAGATCTAACCCACTTTCACCCCCCATTATAGGGTTCGACGTCCCCGTCGAACACATCTACCCACTTTCACCCCCCCATTAGATCTGATCCCACATCGGCTGGGAAGGAGAACTAAGCATTCCTTATAAGGGGTGTGGATACCTTCCCTAACACAACACGTTTTAAAGCTGTGAGGGCAGCAGATTCCATAAGAACTCTGCAGTTAAGCGTGCTCGGGTGGGAGTAGTACCAGGATGGGTGACCCCCTGGGAAGTCCTCGTGCCGAGTGGCCCAAAGCAGACAATATTGTGATACGTGCCAGAGGGGGATGTCACAGTTTGGTACCTATTTAAAGGCCCTTAGGGCCTTCATTTGCGGCTACCAAACCCCAGATAGAAACCCTAAAAGAGCTAGAGCGTTTGTGAGAGGAAAGGAGCCATTTCTTGATCTTTGTGGTTGATTATTGCAAGAAGGAGGTGTCCCAGCTTAGAGGAGACCAAGGAGGCTGTGCATCTGTCGATTTCGAGCAAAAGACTTCATCTTTGAGGTATTATATCGCCCCTTTATCTGTTTTGTTGAAGGAATCCATAGATGTAGAGTTTTTATGATCTTTATTGGAAGGAATTGTGAGAATATGGCCCCTATTTGCATTGAGACTTCAGATATGGACCCATAGTGGTCTAAAGAGCTTATCCCATCTTGCTTTATGTTGAGCTATGGAGGCGTTAAGCTTAGGATGTTATTTTTGGGGCCAAATCACCAAGTCAAGCCTCCTAGACGTCCTATGAGTGTCAAGATTCGAGGGAAGGTCAGATCTATGGATCTAAGGAACAGATCTGACCTCAGGAGGTCAATTGAGTTTGTGCACGGCATGAACTCACCGAGTCCTAGGGCATACTCGGCGAGTAGGGTTAGGGTTTCCTGTAAATCACTCAGTGAGTAGACTTGCCGAGTTGGGGGAATAACTCAGTAATTCAGAGGGGGATTGGAGGATTGTAGATCAAGGCGGAACTCACCGAGTTGATCTTGAGACTCTGCGAGTTGAGTCGGGGTGGCCCCACGATTCATGCCAGGTGTGACTCGTCGAGCAAGGGGAGGGAATCGACGTGCCAAGAGAGACTAGAGAGTTAGTGGACACGTGTAGACTCGCCGAGTCGCCCAAGTGCACTCGACGAGTCTGGTTAAAGTTTGACCGTTGACTTTTAGGGTTTGGTCAACAATGTGGCCTTTGAGCCAAAAGAGGGGTAAAATGGTCTTTTGCCCTTCTGAGGGTGCCAAGAGAGGGTTGAGTCTAGTCTCGAGAGTTATATTTATGAGAGTATTTACTTTTCA